AATTCATACTTAAAACATTTAAATGAAAATGAAATACTACAATGATTTGAGACACATATCACATAAGTATTTTAAAGTTCCATGTCTCTACCATAAGGTAATGCAACAAGAACCTCAACTTTTTGCCTGCAGTTGAATTTGAACCTTGAAATCGTTAACCACACTAAAATTAGCTTTTTGTTCATGCTAGCAGCTCTTAGAACAGATGCAGTAATTGTAAATAACGACTGGGAAAATTAATAACTCGTATATTATGGTTATGCCTTAATACAGTATATGCTCTCTATTACATAGATGTTGTTTCTTTGTAACTACATACATCTCAGTACCTCCGCTGCACTAGGACAGCTTCAAAGAAAGAATTTTTACAGCTGTTACATGAGAATTACTAACACATTAAAAGCCAGCTTTCAGAAGAATCATCCAAAAAGTAAATAATAATAATAATAATAATAACAACATAAAAAATCACAAGTTAGTATAAAATCATCATCTTGCTATGTGTGACAATTTGTTCTGAACAGAGAGGACACAACAGACAAATAGCAGCAGGATTGAGTTATAAGGAAGGACAGCTCCTTAACCACAGCTGGAATAGATTTCCTCATACTCCTTCTTCTCTGCAGTACAGATTCTAAAAAATAATAAAAGCATATTTCTATTCCTCCTTTACACAAATGAAGTATCTCATAATACTGTAGCTACATAGAATAGTTTTTATACTATTTTTTAAGTAAATTTGAATTAGATCACATAGCAGATTATCTAATAATAACAAATCTGCAAAACAAGTCATAGTCCCTTCCTCACTTATCATGACTTGATGATTTTGCATGTGAAGGATATGTCCTCTTGGCAGAGGCAACTGCAGTAAATAAGTTGCTGTTGGTGACCTTCTTCTGGGAGGATTAGGCAAGCAGTACACTAACAGCAGGTAAATACCTTTACATCCCTAGAGCAGTTATCCAGAAGTTACGCAAAAGAATATATTTTATTGCTTTTCAAACATTACTTTCAAAAAATTTATGAGGACTCATGTTGCTCATTTACGAAAATTCAGTGCTTACAGTTCAGTAAGTGAATAGCTATTAAAAAAACAGCTAACAAACTTCCTAGTAGCAAGAAGAAATCATAGACCATTTTTTTCTGCTAGACAAGTTTCCATTCTTCAAAATCACATCTGTTCCTGCATGCTTCATCTTTTTACTAGTTCAGTGACAAAGTGCTTCTACACAAGAATACCGATGACCCACAGCATCTCACATGTAGACATTTCTGAACACAAAAATATTTAGCTAGGATACCACTAGTTTGTAGTTTTGTTTTATTTTATTTTATTTTATTAACAGAACTGGTTTCTTGGAAATAGAAGTTAATGCATGTATGTGTCCATCTTTCTGTTAGCACCCTAAAGATCCCAGCAAGTGAGCCCTAATTTCATGTCTGCAAATGCTCTGTTAAATTCTCACTTAGCACACAGAAAACACAAGAGATTCTTCTCGTCTCAGGAGTTAAAAGTACACCCTGCCTAAAAATCAACTCATAACTCATTGGCTTTTGAAGCAAATGGGCAAGACCTAAATTAAGTTTATGTCTCACACTGGAGGGACGCATCTCCAGCTATTTTGCTGGCCGATCTGGAATTTCTTTGTCTTTGGTTCATATGCTTTGATTTGCACTTTGTTTCTTGTGGAGCTGATGGACAATTGCAAACTATTCTCCACCAGAATTCAGTGCTGGCTGTCCTAAGGATCCAGTCGCCAGGAAAAAATAAATAAATCAGCAACAAAAGATTCCTTTAACTACTGAGGGAGTTAGCAACATTTTGAAAGAAAATTGTGCCATCATCCAGAAACAAATAAATAAAACATAATTATAAGCTCTCCAACACAGTATGGATGGCAGATGTATTTACCTAAGAGTTTCTCCTTTCTACTAACTGGACCATAAAAGCCAAATTTGCCTGAGGGGCTTCCATTGAAGTCAACAAAAATAGTCCACACTTGCAATCAAAGAGCAAAACTGTATTTTTATATAACCATCATCTGCTAAATTCTATCCCCAGACACTCAACTGATTGGGAACTTTTTGCTATGTATCTAAGGAGTGCATTTAGCTACAAATTGAGCCTCAGCTAACGTCCTGCAATCTTCCTTACTAAGATGCAATTGTGTCTCTGGTTAGATGACAATTCATTCAGAAATAATTCACTTTCTAGACTGGATAGTATTGAAAATGGAGATGCAGTTAATCTGACCCATTCACAAGCACCTGGAGATAATTCTGCTTATACGGCTCTTGAAGAAAATCCAGAAAGATTTTGGGTCTTCCCGATAAATGCTGGATAAATGCAGGACAAACGCTGTCTGCTTCAAATAAACATCATGTTGATTTTATGTTGAATTCAGTGCTAAGTGAAAAAATTACCTGCAGCCTTAGATACAGCACTTGCGCCCAAAAGCTACAACGTTCATTACAACCATCCATCTGAAAATAGTACAAAGACAGGGAATGAGTCAAACACGATGACAGAAATCCAGTGGCAGAAAGTACTTGTTATCTGACTTGTAAAGCAGAATACCTGAAGAATTTCCTGTAGACCATGAACAGCTGGTGGCTGGTACAAATTAGAAACCTGTTCTTCCTCATCCACTTCCACATGTATTTCACCAGACTGAACAGTAAGAATATAACAGAAGCTGGGAGGAGGAAGATTAGTTGTCATCTATTAAAAAGTAAGGAAAAGAAATGTGACCTTAAATAAGGCACTTTAATTTGGTCAGTCAGGTTTTATATTGGCTAAAACGAACGACATAATTTACACCTTAAGAAGGATGGGGAAACAAAATTATATGGTTAATAACAATGACTCTCTGAAGTAGAAGTTGAGTTAATAAACTGACCTTCACAAGTTATAAGTGAAATCAGGTTGTGTGTATAATTTTTTCCATAATCTAACATTGATCCTCATCACAAAAACATCTCATGATTTGGCACACTTGGCAAACACTGTGACTATTTCAAGGTGCCTGTTGTTGTTTTGCTTTTTTTATTATGTGGTAGGAGTGCCCTGATATTTTTTTATTTTCTTTTAACATCCATAACTTTTCTGAGATTTGGGGACTTTTGCATGTGGGTGGGTTTTTGTGATAGTAAACAGCTGACAAACTTTTAAAGCTGCCAAATTAAATCCAGGACAGCACGAGGAGATAATGAAGAACAGGAACACAACAGCCACAAGGACTGCTCTCTCTTTGTGCTATGCCAGATTTTTCTTTTCCCCTTAAAAAGTACCATGACGTAACAATTTTATCGATCACCACTTAAAGAGGTCCTAAACTAGAAAGGCTTCTCAGGGAAAAAGAAGACAATACTAGAAAATAATTTTTATTGTGGATATGGTAAAATGTTCTTCTAGCGATGTTTGTTGTTAATAAAGCATTTCATTTAATAAAAGAAATCTGCATAATGAGGAAAAAAAAGCCATCAACATCAACTCAAGTTCTGTTTGCTTCTGGCAGCACTCAAGAAGGTATTTTAATGTACCTATGGCTCAAAAGAAATCAGTTCCACAGATCTGTTCCCAACAATACCATCAGCATGCTGGTGATATTATTTATGTACCTATGTGTAAAACTGCTTCCATGAAACTGGGCATAAAACTGTACTGTTTGTATGATATCTGAACTGAAAAAACTCCACTCGACCAAAAACCTGCAGCAGTAGAATGTAAGTCTCGATCCTCCGTGGAATGAATGTGCATTACAACCCATGTCAGAAGTGTAAATTGCATGATTATGGAAAGCTTCCTACATTTTTAGATTGCTAATAAAATCGAGCAAATTAAGAACAAATGAGAATCATAACAATGCTAAACAATATTTAAGAGCTTTGCTCCATCTGTGGCTATTCCCATTCTGTTGTCCACAGTACTTTAATGCACAAAACAATCCATTCCTCTGAGACCTCCGAAATGTCTACATGAAAGAGGGAGTCAAGGAGAGAACAGCTGTTTCACTCAGTTTCAGTCTTGGTTTTCTACATAACCGAGGTCTGAACTTTTTATTCTTCAACATAAACCCCTGCACAATGCAAACACCCTACATTGCAGAGAAAAGATTCTCAGACTTTAGAAATAATTAGTAATATCAACCCCTAATGTTTGCTGGTTTTGAAGCTTGTTTATTTCCAGCTTTTTCTTCTTTTCTAGAAAACTTGCATCCTGATTGAGACTCCTTGGTTCTAACACAAAATTTTAATACCACAAGCTTCTTCCCTAAAGAACAGCCTATACCAGAACAAGCACTTGGCTGCCCAGAAGCTTCTGAAATGATCTCATATTACCAAATTGACATGTGATATGACAGAACTTTTCAAATACAAAAGTTAATTAAAGGAATATTAAAGATGGAACGTTAGATTTGCAAATATATAGTAAGATACTTTAAATCCATTCTAATACCTCCCCACCTCCTAAAATCACAGTAACATTAATTACTTTTTATTAGATTATTTTTTGTTTTCATCCTTTGACTGTCTTCACATGAGAAAAGTATCAGTCAAAGTTGTCCTAACTAGTAAGAGATCTGATTCCAGAAGTCAGTCTGTCTTCACAAAAGCTAATCTTCAAAAAAGTGCTTTCAAATCTAAGGCTGAAAAGAGCTTCAAATGAATAAGAAAATACAAGTAAATATATAGATATCTCAACTAGCTCCATGCTATCTAATATGTCTTTCCTCCTTCAAGGAGAGGAGAGGAATAATTTGTGTGGACATCCTACCATTCTAGCTCTAGAAGATTAAGAAGGGGCCAGTCACATCATTGTTGAAAGAAGCAGCTGATCCAGAGGGCTTCAGGTTAGCTTAGGAGGTTGCCAGAACCAGTAAAAACAAAACTTAATAGCTAAAGAGAGGGAGAGAATCTGCTTCCCAAAATAAACATGATTATACTACCAACAAAAATACTAGTTGTGAGTGAAAAAATACATTTCCATAATAACAAGACTTACCATTTCAGAGTCTTGACTTTGCCCAGGAACTTTTACAGGCACTACTGGAGGCCACAGACTATCTATCAGGCTAAAAAGTCCTAATGCCCTTCAAAAAGACCAATAAATTAAAGTTTATAATGTTTTTCAGTGTTATACATTATAGTAAAAAGATTCATTAAGAAATACACTTTAAACCATTGCATTATTATGAAAACAATTTACAATCATATTTCTTTTCTGGAAGTTGCTTTTGATTTGGTTCAATTAAACCGCCATCATTTCTGCTGCAGGGTGGTGAGGGAGAGAAGTGATGTATGACATTCAGTGACAAGCAAGTCATATTTCATCATTTGCTACCCACTACATTACAAAATTCAGGGGAACTGGGGTAAATGCTAGCCTGGGAAGGACACAGATACAACTAAAACTTCTGTAAAAAAATTGCTTTTAACTATATTAACTGATAGCTTTTTTTTAAAAAAAGCGCTTTACTTCTAACATCCGCATTTTTTGCTTTTCTCTAACAGCTGATTGTAAGCACTTACAGGAAAGTCAGCAATTATCAGATACAGAGAAACAGGCAAGATTTTGTTATCTTCAGTATGCATGCAGAGAATGGTCTCCTTCCTACACAGCTGCTCATTTAGCTACCATTTTAAAAAAATTATTTATTTTGTAAGTTTCCCACTTTTAATTTAGAAATAAACATAAAATCAACAGCTCAGCATATTAAGGTAAAACGTTGTAGACTTTAGCTCTAGCATGCAAAGCTGCACTTTGCAGCAGTCCAGTGGTTGCTCTGCCAGTTGATAGGGCATCCTTGCTGGACAGGCAGGAACATCCGAGGGAGAGGCCAAGAAAATAGCTGAGAGAGGGGAAATAGCTGCAGATAACCAACTTGAAGAGGCATGCATTTTTGAGTTAAAGCTCTCAGTTATCTTGTCCTAGTTTGGTGTTCTGTGTAGTCAAAGAAAAGAGATCTGGATTTTAACCCCACGCTGCCTCTGAGAACGAGTCGTGTGTTTCTCCAATTAAGAAAGCCACTATTTCTGAAACAGCTCTAAAAAAAGAAGTCCAAAACTTGCTAAAAGTAATACTAGCTTTAATATTTAGCTAATATAATTAGAAGAACTGTTTAGAAGAAGGAAAAGGCTTACTCTGAAGTACGCTGCAATAGGCTTAAGTACGTTGCAATATGCTGCTTCTCTTCAAGGGGTCACAGAAACTGTCTTTTAAAGTTCTGCTTTTAATTCACTTCTGCTTAAGCTTATTTATTTCTGTATTTCCCTAGTCCTTCTCCAGATCTTTAAGAGTTCATACTTTGGGTATCTATAGGCAGTAAACTTTCCATGTTTTTTCACAAAGCACCAGGTATCATCTATGATACAGTGTTAATAGTGATGCGCATGGACCAGCACTGTAGGAAGTTTTATGAATGCAAATCTCAGAGTGGATCTTGTGGAATAAAGCTTGTGGTTCATGACTGAGGTAACAAGGCAGATTAAAGAGATGATATTGCTATCTGTAGTCGTGTTCTCCAGACTAATGAACAGACTACAAACACAAATGTGCTCCTCTTTTACAGAAATGAACTTCCTGATTTACATGGCACCATCGCCAAGTCTGTAAAAGGAGAAGGCTGAGCTCAAAAGCTGGGTTTTTTTTTCAGTTTTGTGTTTTGTTTTTAACAGTGAGAGCATTACAACATACAAAGCAACACTTCTTAGGTTTGAAGAGACTTTACAGCAAATTGACCACTTCTTGAATCCTGGATCAGGGCAACATTTTCTGTCCTGTATTGTACAGAATGATCCCCTCTCTACAGTCAGAGGGGGGCCAATGCCAAGGGGGAAAAACTGGTCTTGCTAACTGGGACATGAAAAAAGGGAGTTACCAAAACAGAGCATAGCCTTCTGTGCAACTCAGTTACACAAGTGGCCTTCCCCACATGACACGCAGCATGACGGCAAGGGCAGAGCACAGGTATGAACATATCATAAACTCTGTGTGTGTACAGAGACTGCCTATTTATCAACCTGCAGCAAATAAGCTATGTAGTTCTAGTGCAGAGATAATCACATCTCCACACATACAGTACATTTTCTTCAATTCCTTGTGTCATCTATTGCTTGAACCAGGAGCACTTAATTATTAGTAAAATGCAGTATTTCTTTACAGACAGGCAGGAGAACAGCACTGCGTAGAGAGTGTCTCTGAACATCTTGGCCTCACACTTTTCTTTGACACCAGCCAGGCAAACGGCAGGCACATTTGCCACCCAGAAGATTTGCAAATTCCAAATTGCACAGTGGAAGGATCCTCCTCTACCAAAGGGGATGTTCTCTCCTGGAGCTGTCACTGTACCAGTGTCCCTAGTAAGGAAGTTCTCTCTTGCTCCACCGACCTATATATGCCTCCAAGAAAGTTAACTCTCTTTACACTTACAGACCTCAACTTAACAGAAAGGGGAACGAAGGAGGCAACAACAGTGGAGAAACAGCAAAGCATTGTGTTCTCCTCTGTACAAAATCACTATCCTCACAGAAAGAATAAAATTAATTCTCTTTATTGGCCAAGCAACACTCAAACCCCACTTCAATATGACTTGAACAACGGATGTATTTTATCCAATATGTGTCTCCTTCTTCAGCTATAGAGTCAGGACAAGGGATGAACAGCTGTCTCTCTGCCACAGTGAAGGGACATGGTTAGCCTCCACATGTGCACAAAGAGCCTTTCTGGCTACAGAAGATGAAATAAAGACTTTAAAATTTTGCTCTGTGAGTGTAATTACTATCCACTATTAAAAAAAATATTGATCACAAAGGACAGACTTCTGAAAAAGGAAAAGTAGATTAAGAAGTAAGAAGAAACAGGCTCAAGGATAATAAAAAGAGCAGTAAAGTATTTTGAATCTTTTTTTTTTTACACCTGCCTTGTTTTGCCTTTCACTGCTAAGTCAGATAGGATACATTCATATGTGCACACATGCGCATACATGTTTGCTCTATGACTGTTGATAAAAGCATACAAATAAAGAGAAAAGCTGTTGTAACTATATTTAGACACCCACTGAAGTGATAAACCTGTATCTACATTCTCAGCACATCTACTCTGATCCTGTGGAAATTTCATACTACAAAAATCAAACAACTTCAAAATCTGATTTTTCAAAACTGTATTTCAGTGACTCTGATCTGACAATTTATTTCATAACTTAATAAGAAGATTTTGTTTATCTCTCTCACAAGCATGAAGTTTTGTCTACTGTTCTGGTCCAAAAACTTAAGTGTGTTACATGCCTGATTCAACTTTTTATCATTACAGCTTACAGTTTGGGGGATTTTTCAATTTTAATAACCATACCACAGGTTCAGGGGAAAATTACTACAGGGAGAAAATATGAGCAATATCAAAGAAAGTAGAAAACAATACCCATAACAAGGAAAAGAAGAAAGACTATGTAAGGTTTACGGTAGGGGACAGGAAGAAAGGTGCTAAGATTCTTGTCTAACGTCTTCCACAGCTTTGCTCTAGGGACTCAAGACTTGGCACTTCTGTTTCATCCTCTGCTACTCTCCCAAAGTTTGTCAAAAATGAAATGGTTTTCTTTTGGCAGTATCAGTCTCAATTGGTAAGAACTCAAAAATAAAGTAAATTCGAGTCCTCTGTGAAACATCTCCTTGCCTAAAACTAAAAGGAAATTCAGTAATAATCACCTAGACTGTGTAAGCTTCAACTATCAAAAGATAAGCAATCGAAATATAAAGCTGATATTGTAGGCTAGCTCTCCTTTTAATTGACCTATTAAGATCTTACAGTGCACAAGCCATGCAACACCATATTTTCTCAGCCGTGAGTATAAAAGCAAAAAAATCATAAAGTAAAAATCTGAGTCTACTAAACCAGCATCTCAGTTAAAATACAAACCGAGAAGGGTTGCTGGCTCTCTTTTCTCTAAGTTTTGTTTAGATGTATGGAAGTATTTTGTTGAATAATTTATTTACATACTTAAATAACTCAATTTGCTATAGTGCATTAGAAATGACACATACTACACATTAAAACACTGAAATTATAATATAAAAGTACTTTTGTTTCAATATTAATATGCCCATGTTATTCTCCAATGCTAGTTACTAAACAGATGCCTGATAGAAGCACTGAAGATACAAGCAGTAGTTAATGCTTATTAAAGAGAGGAAACCTCAAGAAAAAAACCTTTATTTCTGATACATAAACAGTCATCAAAAATAATAAAAAGTAATGCAAATATTCATAACTTCAATGTAATTACTTTAATTATGCTTTAAATGGAACTCAACTTTTAACCACAGCAATTACTGAAGTATTTCTGGACCTCAAAACCTCAGAGACATGGGTGGCTCTTTTAGATGGCAGTCTTTTTGGAGGAGGGAAAACCAAAGGAAGGAAGTTGTGACTTCCTTGCTCTGTGGAGGGTTCTTACTGTTACACTTCCTGTACAGATCTAGCCGTTGAAATACTTTCTTCTATAGCAGTTAGCAGTGGTCCTCTCTTCTGAGTGTAAAACAAAAAAAGAAAAGAAAAGATACAGTGAAGAGTAGAGGAAAAAGGAGAGAGATAGAGGCCAGAGAAGCATGGGACTTAATAAAAACAAAAAAAGAAGATAAGCCTCAGGCACAACAGTGACACTACAGACTGGGGAAAATGCCTAACATTTGAAAGTTTAAAATTACAAACAACAGAAGCCAACTTTATTTGAGAATGCAGAAATTTCTGAGAAACATAATACTGGTTGATGAACTCAATATTCAGAGTCTCCTTACTTTAGAGGAGAATGCAACAGAGAGTAAAGCAAACTGTTAGGTAACAACCTGCCACTAATTAAAGTCTGGGTCATGCACCAAAGCTTGTGAGTTGATGTATCCCTCAAAGTATTTTACTCTATGCAACATAAGTGGACAACTCCATGAAGACTTGCATCTTCTTTCAAAAACTGTTAAGCATCTTAAGCATTTAGGGACAAAATTGGTACAGATACCCTGTGTTAATCATGTATTACATTAAAGCATTTCTTCCTCCTTCCCTACATTTTTAAATTGGTGACATCTTTTTGTTTTGCTGAACAGAAACTCTTCATCTTTCTACCTCATAAGAAAACATAAAGAGAAGAAGCTGGCAGGTCTGGTAGACTCAGAAGTAAAACAACTCAGTACTTGGCAAATCAGATGAAAATACACAAACTGTTAAAATCCAAATTATTACTCTGTGTGGAACTCCAGTCAAGGCTAAAACCATAAAATAAATGTTTTTGTGAATTAAACCAGATATTTAACTACAACATTTATCCCAGCTCATTGAGATTAATTTCTGGTAGGAAGCAGCAGCCAATGACAAGTTACAGGTTACTTAGTCCTGAGGCATTTTAGTGAGTGCTCAGCCCTTGCATCTAATTGCATCCGTTTAGTTACTGGTTATACTGGACATACCTGAAACATGCCTGGGTTCCATTAAAATAAGCGGGTTACATGTTAGTTGTACTGCATACAGATTCTTCACCAAAATTCCTGCCACTAGCAGTACACTGTTGAAATCTCAGTTTCTCTTTCTCAAGGGGCTGAATTTATAAGACTGACATATGAGGCAGGGGGCTAGGCAAGAAAGAGAACATACACCTCCAAGGAGCCAGCACCACCAGTGGCAGATCAATGAACACTTTTCAATCCTCTCTCTTTAAACCATCATATCTTTTTCTGCTGATACTAAGCATGCAAGTCAGGGAACAGCTGTAGGAAAGGCTAGGAGACAAGAATGAGAGAGAGAGTGAAGGGAAAAGGTGTCAGGAAACAGATACTGAACCACATACGTGCTGTTAATTCAGCTGCTACGATACTGGTTCCTACTTCAGTAGTCCCATGAAGAGATCAGAATTGCTAGAAATAAGACACTCAATAAGCCATGGCAACTTTGCCATGACTCAACCATGTCCGTCTGTCTTACAGGACTGTCAGAAACTGGACTGTGAAGGGGAACATCGCTTCCCCTTTTGGACTACAAAGGGAAGGATTTCTTGCAAGGATTGTTTTGGGAAGTATGTTTCACATGGGATATGGGACTTGTTCTTAAAACCACCTAAATCAATGAAAGACCTTCAAATGACCTAGTACTAGACCTTAGTACTTGTTAAAACATACGAGTATTCAAAAACTATATTCAACATTAACAGTGTTTCTCTCAATGTAAGATTACTAGAATTCTAATTTTTCACAGGGTTGATTTTAGTCAAGACAGGACATTGATGAGAACGCGTAAGTTCTCATCCCATTTTTCTTTTGAAACATAAGTGTTTTCTCATTGGGAGAAGAAATCAGATTAGTTTCTTTAGTACATCTTATGATACAGGTCAATTCCAACGATGAGGTCAAGTTCACTACAGGTTTTTAGTCCTTGAAATGCAGTTTCAGCTTACAACAGGGATTTTCAAATTGCATTTACTAGAAAGATGTTAAATAGTACTTTAAATTAAATACTTGATGATGAGGATGGATGATAGCCTGGAACATTTTTTGAACAACAACAGTGGTCCATTGACAAAAAAAAGCTTGTATCTGAAAAATTAAAATCTCCTCTATCTCATGGAAGGACTGAGGAAGCAGTCTGTCTCTAGAAGTGAGATTACAATCCATGTGCCTGTGGCAAAACATGCACATATAGGATCTTATTAGCCATTCCTGGCTTTCTCCAGATCATGAGCTTCAAAGGCACAAAAAAAAAAGTCATGACTTTTCTCTCATATTTCCTACATTTTATTCCCTTTTATCCATTTTAAAACCCACTGTCAGACTCCAGGAAACAAACAGTTTAAAAGTAATCTCCTTCCAAAAAGTAATTGGTGTTCTCAAAAAAAACCACTATATAAAAACAGCAGTCTTTCTTGCAGGGCAGACCACATAGTTCTTATTCACTCATGTGCTGCAAGCCAAGATTGGGCACTCACAGACATATCCCATCATGTGCTCGGATATACCACTGGCTCTGGAAACCCATTTATCCAGTGGCAATGAGTTCTGCAGTCTAATTGTGCTCTATGTGAATAAGTACTCCCTTATATTAATTTCAGCTATGGCTTTACTGTGGTTTCCATCACACCTAGAATGACACAAAACATGTTCAAGCACTTAAAAGTAATAACAAGTTATAAAGCAGAACTTAGGCTAAAACAATTAAGAAAAAAATAACCCCCTGAACAATTCCCCCACCCACCCATCTTGTACAACAAAATCACGTTTTAACCGCTGCACTGTCCCTGAAGCTACACCAGCCTTTTTCTTCTAATGTTTCCTAGCAGGGTTACTGCCAGCACAACTCCAGCTGAGCCACCAGCATTTTCAGCAGTGTGTCTTCTAATCGTCCTCTGAATAGCCAGAAGTAAGTTACCGCTGCTTTGAAACAGAATTTACATTAGAAAAAGTCTGTCTCTTATTAGCTAGGCAGAGTACTGGAAACACCAGCAGCCAGTTGTAAAACTTCATTTGTATCCAGAATTCCAAAGCCATTATTTAATTTGTTTGGAAAAAATGTAACTTGAAAAAAAAGCCAACAAAATAATTAAGTAAGAAGACGTGTTTGTTATTAAAGATCCATAAAAATGCAAATAGGCTTGAAATCCAAAAGATCTGAAAATTAACACTGCAAGTACATAAAAAGAAAAGCATACTGAATAGGGATGGCTGGAAAACAACAATTCCATTTTGCTAAACATTTCAAGGCTTTGATATTTGTTTTTGTTCCAATATGAAACAAAAATAAGACTTTCTGAAAGTTTTGATGAAATGCGAATGAGAAAGAGTATTCACTCCCTCTGGATCTGAAAAAATCTTCCCAATAAAATTGTCTCCAAAATAGATAATGTTTCCATGAAACATTCTGGTTTTGATGAAACAGCATTTTTCAACAGGAAAAAAAATATCAGCAGAAATAGCATAGCCATTCTAATACAAAAGACCAATGTAGAGATGCTTGTATGAATATATTACACTGAGAATTAAATCAATCCAATTATATTTATACAGGTCCTCATGTGAACACTATACCATTTTCCTTAGAAAGATATCCCATACGATAATTGATCTATTTAAGGGGGTTTTTTTTCTTGATTAAAGCTAATTTATTTTATTCAAAGAATGTAAAACGAATCACAGAATAAGCAAAATCTGAGAGGTACCATACGTCATTTTGTTACTTACCTGGGGGTGTTTTTCTATAAACCTGTGGACATTCTTGTTCCAAATAATTTGTGAGACTTTTTTTAAAGTAAACCTTAACTGTGCTTCCAAAACCATGTAGACTTAACTGAATTAAGCTCTCATATACTAAGGGAGAGCCTGTGTTTGAATCTTCAACCCAGACTAGGCAGCACTGTAGAAAAACATACTGTAATAAACAGTTCTGCAATGAAAGTGAAATGACAGTGAACTAATGTTTTTAAGTCTTTGAATCTATTGAAGAAGAAAACACTCATATTTTATGAAATATGGCATACGGTAATTCTTCCCTATCCCCTGCTCTGCTAAGTGTGTGCTCGTGTATTAGCTCATTTATGCTCATTTTGGAGTGTGGTTGGCTCAAGGACTATTGGATACCCCAAAAATGGCAAAATAAAAGAAAGAAATAAAAAGGCAGACCATCTCTGCCTGCCACAACACACAATACATTCTCCCATGAACTGTTCTCACCTTCCTCTTGTAGTTCTTTGCAGAATTTTCATTCCAGCTAAGCAGCAGAATTTTCCTTCCCATCTCCTGCAATACTGCTCAGTGTCATCTGCAGAACTCAGGGATTGCAACTGCACTTCGCTGAACATACCATAGGCATCCTGGACAAGGAGGCACAACCTGCAAAACATTTCTCTGTTACTCATTGGCTCCTGTTCATAACAAACTAATTAGCAAATTTCTGAAAGTCACATTACAAGGTTCAAGACAGGCCTTATCCTCTACAGTATCTGGAGAATTCCTACCAAATAATGTACCAATAAATAAACCAAACATCATTAAAGGTTTTCTCATGTATACTTTCAGGAGGTAACAGGGCCATGAAACAGAGAAGCATGACTGAAAAAAAGCATAAAGGGCTTGCACTGGGGATTATATAAATTAACTGCTATGCACTATGTGGTTTGTGTGCTTATAAAGAAAGAAGGCTGAATTTTTGCCTTACTGGAGGTGAATTCTCCAACACAGACAGAGCAATGATGCAAACGTATATGTGTGTGCATATAAATATAAAAATTCTGCTTAGAAGTAAACAAAGCAACAGAAGTAATAATCACCAATACCAAATCTGCCAAGAGCAGCATTACTTTTTCTGAAACTTTTTTAACAGTCCTGAGGATGCAAAAAAGAGTGAATCATAATTTTTTCTTAAAAAAAACCCAAACCAACCCAAAAAACCAAAAAACCCATGAAACTGCAGACTGGTATATTCAATACTGGTTACAAGGAAGTCCAGAGGAACTATTTCAAGGAGGTAATTAAAGAACTTGCTAAACAAACAATTTGATTAAAGTATGGAAGTAGGGGCTGTAGGGTTGGGAAGTGTTGCTTAACCAGCTTGCTGGCATTTTGAGAAGATATTACTGTCACAGCAGATAAGGCAAAATCAGTGGATGTCATACATTTAGATAGTCAAAAACACATTTCACAAGATTCTGCACCTGAGATGAGCAGTCATGATAGCGTGAGTCATGCAGTGCTGGAGGAAGGAGGCTGCTGTATAGAAGATCAGTTTAACTGCCCCAGAAAGAGATAGTCAAGTATGGAAACTTTTCAACAGGAGTCAAAAATTACCTTTGAGGGTAGCACACACAACTTTATTTCTAAATAAAACTCAGTGGTGCACTAGGCAGCAGCATTCAGTACATTTCAGAGATGCATGCCAAAACTACCTTCTCCAGAGCACTATCATTGTTCACAGCAAGCCAACTCCAATTGCTTTTGGAGCACATCATATAACATATTATATGCATCCTGAAAGCATTCAACAGTAGTCATTATATCTTAATAAAACACATTTTAAATGAAATGAGCTCCTACGTTTCTCTGGAAGAAATCCATGTATTTCTTTGCAGAGAAGCTTAGGCACATGAAAAGTTATTAATCACAGTTTCTTTGTTCATTATGAACCGTCTAACTTTGGCTTACACCCTTGAGAGGGCTGTATTCAGCACAGATTACAACTCCAAAGTCTCTCAGACATCAGCAGCTACGCAAGCACCAGCTGAGGGTCCTCATTTTCAGATTCTGGTGCTGGTTTGGAGGAGCTGGGAGTGGTAGGACTGAACACGAATGAAGGCTCCCATATTTTCCCCACATGGCTAGCTACAAGAGTCCCACATAAACAGAGTATTCACCAGGCAAAGAAAGCTTAGGCACAATTCCTTCACAGCCTGCCAAGGTTAAAAAGTCCTTTAGAGCCATGAAACACCTGCTTCTTACCCTGTGTAACTACAAATAGCAGGAAACAAAATGCTGTTGTGATATGAGGACTAGAAGCAGACATACCCTCAATCTCTGTGCTGAGTGGTGTTCCTAGCCTAGAAAGCAAGTTACTGTCCTAACAATAAAAACTTGTGTCTTCAACAGCTCTATCACTCTTCATTTTCTGTGCAAAACCATTTGTGAGATGCCTTCTGGATTCGCACCACAAGATCAGCTCCAACTCAACAGGACAAAGACTGATGTACTATGAACATGATAGCCCAGAAGCAGTACGGTTGTCTGCCACTTCCCATGTTAGGACCTTGCAATCGGTTAAAAACTCTCCCAAGTTTTAACTGATTGGACTGAAACTCCTCATGCTATTGTTTTGTTTGGAAAACGAGAGCTAATATACTCTGGACATTTCTGAAAATCAGATTGAGGGGAACAGGAAAAACAAAGCAAACAGTTTTGCCTATGTTAACAAAACATTCAGTGACTGTTAATTGTGAAAAATTAGGCCTCCATATCTTCCAGCAAGCAAGGGCCAACCGAGTTAGCATCTCAGATCCGATCAGTTCAGCAGTGTCTTAACTGATCACGGGAATTTCTCATAACTTTAGTGAGACATAACTGAACGCAAGTAAGTCTCAGACTTGCTGGCACCAGACTCATATTAAGTCCTCTGGGACATGTTAATTGCCCAAATAAAATTAGCTTGGTTGGTGCTGAAGACATCAGTCACAAAAAGTGCATTTTCCCAGTCCTTTTAAGCCAAGCAAAGAGATGACTGCTGTCAGACACAGCAGTCTCAACTCCCCGCATCTCTGGCCACATATTTCCATCCCTTTGTGGTGGCAGCATAAATAGCTAGGATAGGAAACTGATCTGACCAAAAAACCACTGTAGCCAAATAATCGTCATCATCGTGAGATCAGCTCCTTGAAAATTAACTCTGTAGAAGTAAACTCCTATTTGTATGGAGCATCACTTCTAGAGAAGGATGCATTTTCCAGGCAGGATTAGGAAGCTGAAGCTCCCAGGTCATATGATAGGAAAATGGTCATCATAAGACCAATCTCAATATACAGAAGTAAAGGAAGAACAGTGTAACTTGAGGCTTATACCACTAATGTTCCCATTCTCAGTAGTAATGCATTCATGATTATTGGCACCATTTAGAAACACAGAGCAGCAAAATATCTTGCACCAGACTCCAAGTAGTTTTGCTCTATTAGGACTGTATACATGAGCAGACATCCACTATATTACACTTAACAGTTTTCAAAAAGTAGTCAATATTTCTCTGCAACAAGCATTTACAATTAAATGTATATATTCACTCATTTGGAAGACAGAATTTCACAAATAACATCCAGATGCCAAATTTCAGACTAAAAGATGAGGAATATCCTGAACTAACACTATAGAGAACTTCACAGATGGATGTTCCCTGCTTCAGCACGCTTTTAAAACAGTACGAATGAACGATGACAAAAGCTTGAAATATTCTCAACATCATTTGATCTGCCACAGACTGATTTAGTAGGCAATGCTATAGGTATTTAATGATGAGTGACAACTGATTTTCCTACTTAATGACTATCATGAAATCAGCCGAATCCCACAACAGACTCAGGGATGCATCTGGAGCACTACTCTCATGTTCTCTGAAACCGCTTCTGTTCTTGCAATTTTGCACACACAGTTAGCATCACTAACAGCAGTTTGGTTACTTTCAGAGGCTGTTGATTCATAGCCACAGCCGTAACTTCCCCACCAACATTGTTTTTTTCCTTGATTTCACTTTATTCCCAGAAAAATGCATTTTTGTTATTTCCCCAAGTTAAGAGTGTTGCTCTCATACTGCAGCAAATGTTCCTGCAAATAAGTTTTAGCAGCAAGTCTAACTGTGATTAAAGGAACAGTTTGTCCCATGATTTCCTGCCCTCTTTGAAGCTCACTACCAGGATGAAAACCCACATCTAAACTATGAGACAAGGTGCAAACCCAAAATGAGTATTTGCCCCCAGGAATTCAGCGATTATATTTGTGCACATCTATCACAAATACTTTTTTCCATAAAATGTGGTGTTTGTACTGAATCAGTTAATCAGCTAAAACATACCTTTACCAATGCCTTGCCAGTACGTATAGTAGTGAACTGTTAAAAAAAAGAGAAAGCTCACGATTTTTATCAGCAGTGCTCATTTAGGGAGAAAATAAGGGCCATTTTTATTTTTGGGACAACAGGGTGCAACCCTGCGTAAGACCTGAATTTAAAATATGCTTTTGGAAACTGAAATTTCTCATGCAAAGGAGCAGAGAACTCAGTCCAGGAGCGAGGGGTGGCAGGAAAACCAGTAAAAGGAGTGAGTGTGGGAGATGCAGACTAAAGAAAAGGTGAAGTATGACTCATGGGTAGTAACAAAGGGGGCAAAGATAGGGAATGATAAGAAGTGAGGCAAAGATTAACCTTTTTTTTTCTTACCTCTTCTTTCTTTTTTTAAAGTAATGACACAGTAAGTCTCATGCAAAAGCTTGGGAAGATTTTGTTAATTCGCTAATAGCCAGGAGCAAGGATGGAAACTGGGGGAAGATGAGACTGATTACTCTGCGTTATTTCTATGACTGTGCTGATACTTAGGACAAAATGTCTCCTAGTGGAAATCTGGAGAGGATTACAGGATTACTTTGCCATGCCCTTCTTCTTGTTAGTCACTCCTCATGGGTAAAGCCCTCTTTTACGATTACATTTTTATGCATGAAAAATTGTATCTCTCCATACTGCCTTGTATGAGACAGCTGACTTTCTGGAGAAGTAACAGTGACAAAAACCTTCTTCAGCTTTGGTCACCTCCTCAGCAGCTAATGAAAAAGTGTAAGAAAAAGAAGATCTGCCTGCAGAGGAGATGAGAGTGCACAGAGGGCCAGAACTGGCCCGTGACACATGGGTCGTGTCTTGTGAAAACAAGCAGCAGAAATTTGTCATGAAGAGATCTTAACTAGCAAGTACTCCTTCTCCTAAGGTAGGAGGACAACCATGTGTCCCACAGCAGCTTTTCTCCACACATGGCTAAGCTGTGTAGTATGGCATGAGAAGCAAGACAGCCAGGCAAATGCCACCACCTCTGCAGTGCTCAGCAAGGACTTCATTAGTTATTCCTTCTTTGAAAGGGAGGGAATGGAGAAAATGCCTGAAAACTAATTAAATTGTATTAGCTCTGATATTTGCTCATTCTTTATCTCAACCATCCAAGAGCCAGCTGCTGCTGCTGCTTTGTTTGTCAGAAGGCCTTCTTATCTCTTTGAGGTGCGGTCCTAGCAGAGGCATAAAGCACATGTACATAAACACACATAAACAAAAACCCCCTCTCCCTTAATCACCAGAGGCACAACACTACCTACACATTTCC